GCCAGTTTTTCCTTCTTCTGCTGCAGTTTTCTGTAGATGTGATCATGCGTATGCTAAACTATGCCTAGCTTAGCTTACGTCTAGACAGAGATGTGACCTTTCGGGTAGCAGTAAGCATATCCCAGCCGCTACAACCGCATCGTTTCCCTTTGGCACCATTTCGGATGATGGCGCTGGAAGTCGAGTTGTCCCCTTGCATTTCCTACGCTTCCGCCCAGTTCGAAGACAAACGCCACAGCGCCAAGTGGCAGCAGCCTTGCCCATATCCGCTTCTTTGAGAGATGAACGGGCGCTTCAGGGCATATTTTTTTTTTCGAAAGATAGATTTGTTTGCTGTTGGGACAGGTCACGATTTTCCGACCCTTGACGTTTCCAAGGCCCACAGACCGAGCAGAAATGCAGAGTGAGACGGACGCTTGACTGCTTCTGCACCGATCGAACATAGTACGAAAAACCGAATGAAGAGCGTGACCCGATCACTTAGCGTGTCGCTGACGAGACTTGGTGACCAGAGTTGCTGATTATTCCGATCTCGAATGGATAACCATCTAGAATGGTGATAGAACAGAACCGTGGAATGATGCGTAGTTGGAAGCCCTGAACAGGCGGTCTGTATTCTAGTTGTAACGCAGAAACGCGTTTACAGATTGTAAGAAACACTGGTGCGGTCGTTACGTTAGCGTGGCCAACTTAACAGAGTAGTTTCAATAGCTTTTCTTTGATCTCATTGTTTTTCTCTACGTATGTATGTAATAGCTGCTGACTGGGCTCTACGAAATGGTAGCCTTCACCGCTTAGAACTAGCCATAGGAGGTCAAGTGCTGAAGCTTACGTGCTTGTTGCGGTGTTTGCGAATGACGCCGACAACGAGGTCACACTGAATTTTAGATCTGCCGTGCCGCAGCTGACGCTGCTCGGTTGAACAGCGCAAGAAGACTCGTTTTGTCGTAGTCAAGCCTGTGATGGTTGACCGGCATTCATAGAATATGCGAAGCGAAAATGCTCGGTGTATTGTGTATTTTGAAGCTCTTGTGCTTGACGTTCCTGTTCCTTTAGCAGCACGTTCTGCTATTGCTACTGCCGGTGCTGCTGTGCGGTTAGTATTGAAGTAATGCGGTTAACGTTTACTTACTCGTTCCAGTTCGGTCTCGTAGACAAGGGTCACTGTCCTTTCGCTTGGTTGTATTGGCTGCTAAATCGAAATTAATTCAAAATGAATGTCTAAATGTTAGTCGACGGTCGGGTTGGGTTCGTGTTCATTTGTCGAATTTGCTGTGGCGGTGACATTGACCCCACAGACACACGCGCAAACATTCAAAATAAAGGTAGCACAAACCCCAATTCGTGATTTCAAAATGCATAGCCGTTGTCAGTTGTGCTAGTCGCATTCACACACGAAGATAGAGAAGCTTTAGCGTGCTCTCCTGTCAAGGGTCCTTACATCTCGGGGGGTCGGCATAATAGATAGGTAAAAAGCAGCAAGTGAAGTAGTGCACAAGCCATTTGATAAAACAGATTTAAAGCCGTGCCAAATAGGTCACTCTCGTACGTCCGAGAAAGATACAAAATACATAGCGAAATAAATTGCACCTGTGTATATTAGCAACGAAGCGTAAATTGTTTTTGCTTGCAACAGAGATAAGAGCGACTCTCGATAGAGCTTATTCTTTTACAAAACTCAATTTAGGACGCGCTTGATGCAAATCCTTTCTTGGACCATCCAGATTCGTTTTAACACATTAGTAGGGTAATGGGGTAAATTACTAGAAAAATGTACGGCTGCAGAGCTGAACGGACTTCGGTGTAGCCTCGTTAACGAACGACGGTCCATCATTAACGAACCAACCTTTTCCACCGCACGAGTCCCAGCCATAGACGGTGCTGCTTGTATAGTGCTGCGTATAGCAGAGTAAAATAGTTATCAAGACCGACTGTTTCAGCTGAAAAAAATTTGGACGGAGTGTACGGAATCAGAACGGTATTTGCTTCTAACGCAACAGATTAGGCGGAAATTGCATGACAGTCATGGGTAAACTAAACCAAAATCGTTGTCTTCCCGGCTTATCCATTTGTTAAAGCCAAAATATCGGGTCGTGGATTAACGTTTAGACGTATAGAATATCGCTCGAAATCACGCGTATATCGTGTACGTATAAACCCATAAGGATAAGTTAACACCGCAACCAGGTACGTAGTAAACAAAAAGTATAGATATTATATCGAAAGTCACTGAATTATTGATTGTCCCTGTCAATGACCTGCACGACAGCCCATCGAATACTATTTTCCACCATCACGCACAACTGGAATATAGACAGTAAAAAATACGTCTATGATCGTTGCGGCAATTTCAAACCGCCGTCTTCGTTATCCAAAAACTAAAAACTATATAGCACTACAGATAAAATGGGGTGAAATCGTATTGTCCGCTACTTGCCACGTACAACTGTTAGATTTTCTAACCAATCGGCATTGAGTCTAAACATCCAGGCGCTGCAACAGAACATAATCACTACCGTCATAGTATATAGATGTAAATGGGTATTCTTTGAGCGCATTATGAATCGTAACTTAGATTAACGGCGCGGATTGCTTTTTGTCATTAACTTCGTATATAGACCCACACATTTTGAATAATACTTTCTGCATTATTAAGTTAAGCTAAAGTTAAAAGACGAGTCCGTCATTGAAACAGTCATCGAAAATTTTCGCACAGCTAATAACGCACAGACAAACCGAACATACAGTATGACGTAGCGAAACTTAAGCATATTATTAGAAACGAAAGTGATATGGCCTCGAATGCGAGTCCCAAGGGTGACAGGGTGCTACATGTTTGTACACACTGCAAAGATGAATTCCTCTATAGTGTCGAAATTTTCGGTGCGTTGGAAAGTTTGTCCGTTTGCTAAAACTTAATAGTGCAATAACGCGTTGGAAGTAAAATTGTTTGACACTTGATAGAGAAGTTAGCAAAGCCAAACTTACTAAAAGATAGAGGCACTTATTAATGTCAGCAGTTTGGTGATGGTTTGAGCACAACATCACCCTACACTGGATATAGTTCAAACGAAGAAGGTCCAGACACATAAATTACTCTGTATGTAAACTGCTTGTAATAATCAGCAACTTACAATGCCCAATATAGGTAGCCTCAAAATTCTCGAGGTTAGCTGACTGATCACCTACAATAGAAATGACGGCATAGAAAAACAGAGAATATCGTGGTGAAAGACGTATTTCCGGCTGGTGGCAGAGCTCAGTTTGTCCTACAGTTGTCATTTACTATAACACATCTAAACAGACCCAACGAAAATCTGTAGTCTTTGAAGGATAGCACAGTCCGCAGCTGCGTACGCTCAAGGTATTCATTGTGCAACAATATTACTAAGAACTTCTCGACTCAAAGGAACTATTAGTTTTAAAGAAAACTTTTTTTCTTTTACGTGATTTGGCTTCTCTTTCTATCGGACCGTACGGTAACAACAGCTACCAAAACGATCAGTCGAGTAACTTACTTACTTAGCATCATTTTTAGAACGCTTTCCGGTAAGATTCTTTGTCACAAGGCAAACAGGAAATATTTACGTAAACGAAAGCTGCTAAACTCACGAGCGGCCTAAAATTTGCTAGGCAAAGCTGAGTAATGGCTAGTGCTCCCTGCCGCCAAATATTTGAATGTTACAAATTCAGAACCACGAATAATAAGATAATTGAGATATTACTCTCAATATAGTCTGATCGTCAAAAATTATTAACTTGAGTAACAACACTGACGTTACGTGTGTAGTCTGATAGATATATAGCTTGTAGGCGATACGTGAACGAATTGTAGAAACCGTAACGTCGTCCAGTGCTATATTTGAGACGAACGTTCTAACCTACTTGCGTGGACTTGTTGATCGAGCTGATTTACCCATTAATGAATTTGTATCTTCCGCCTTGTCTATAGCCACTATATAGTTCACAGCGGCTTATACGGATGTCATCCCTTTCCCTTACTTGACGAAGTCACGGTGGTCCTAACCGATAAAGTCACAAATCACCACCGTATCTAACAGCGCAGTGGCTGGTCTAATTTTTTTTTTTATTACAATTGTAGGATTTCTTCTATCACAGTACTACAGTGTATTATAGCAGAGCGAGTGCAGACAGCCCACTTCATTTAACAGCTTCAGCTTCTGTATGGTGAGTAGCATTCAATATCTATCAATTGAGCAAAAACTAATAGTAGAAGGATGGAATGATTAGCTTGAGTAAAGTACGTTTTCCCTCTGTCAAAAAGCCGGCGAGGCTGACGTGAAAACGAAGGTACAGTATGATATTACGGGTAAAAGGCGTTACTAGGTTAAGTGGGGTAAACTTCAACAACGACGACAACCGGATATAGCTTTACACAATATATAATTTTATCTTAGAAAAACACTAGAGTCTAGTCATTAACATTAACTAATAATAACTATACTGCTTCTGACGAAACGTACTTAATCTAACTGACTTTATCGTACTCTTTTAGCGCTGAGCTTTTTTGTATATTTGCAATCGAAACTTGCTCTATCTAGGTTGACGATCTCAGCATAGACAGAGGTTCATAGATGAACCTGAATCCTATTTTGTCATTGCTGATGTCTATAATTACCAAAGTGCTTCACTAGACGTTTGTATTTGGACGCTTGGCTGAAATTCAAGGGCCGTCTAAAACGATATCCAAAACGTATTCATTCTGTGCGGACGTTAGCTAATTAACGGTGTAAATGAAAAACGAGCTATAGGAGAAATAATGACACACTTAAGGCCGATGGCACGAAAAGGCGGATACGACTCGCAACTGGAAACAGGTAAGGGTCTTACGGCTTTGAGAGCAGAATGTCCGTACACACTGGCAAGAGTATACAAAATCAATTAGGTATTAAGTGGCCAAGTCGTTTTACGATAAGATAGAGATAGAGGCCAGAAGGAAAAGGGGGCCAAAACAGGCCCACCCGGAGTGCATGCCTTACCGGAAACTCGATGTCGGCGTCGTGATTGGCAAACCGGTTAGCGGGGTTGCTTTGTTCGGCTGCCAGATCTTGCGCGTGCTTCAGCAGAACGTTCTTAAACTCCGCTTCTGAATGTACTTCGAGCAGTTTCTGCCGAAAGTCCATGTCGGCAAAGATAGTCGCGAACGTCCGTCCCGTTTCAAGGGCATTCTTTGTACCTTTCTAAGGCGCGCTCACGTTCAGATGCCAAAACGGGTAGGAGACAGTAGCAAACACCGAGAAAGAGAACGCAAAAACGGACATGATTAACTAATAGGCCAATTAGCTAAGAAGCTAGTGTAGAAAAATAACATTTTATCAGCATTCCTGTAATCGATGTCCAGCGTTATAGGTTGATCTGCTAACCATCACCACTCCATTTGCATATACTTGAGCTTGATATCACTATGCTTGCCTTATCATTGGCTACTTCAAACTTTGGCCTACACACTATAATTCACCTCCAAAGAATTACAGCTGCCTTATTTCTCCAAAAAAAAGAAGTGAAACTTCGATTCTTATCTAAAAATTGTAATCCGTAGCATTGTCTAAATCGTTGGCATAGAAATGTCGCTTATCAAAGTGGCATTGCAACACTCCAGTAACTGGCAACCTGAAAAACGTTATAAGATTGTATTAGGAAAATTAGCAGCTGGTCATGGTTGTTAGGGCTGAGGCGCCCAAAGAGACAGGCTGAAGAAAATAGCATTAGTGACTTCCACTACATATTGTAGTTACTTTGTATGCGATTAACAGCTGACCTTAGCCAACTCGGTAAACCGGTTCTGTAGGCCGGCTGACCTGGTGGCCTATCATCTGCAACAAAAAGGAAAATTGGCCGTCTTTACCAGAATTCAAATGGCAAGGATCACTTAGACGCTACCTGATTTAAAAAAAGCCTGTAAATGGAAAATCGGATGAGGTAACGAAGGTACAGTGGAAAAGCCAGTGACTACCTATCGAGCGAATTTTATCTTACGACCGTTACATCCCCATTTTACAATTTACAGCATGAGGTAAAAATTTTCTAAATATTTTAAAAAAGTCACGGGACAGTTTGGAGTTATCATTTTATATATGAGGTATTTATTCACAATACATAACTGTGAAATGTATACCTGTTAAGAAAATCTTGCCCATCCTCCATTATTTTATAACGATTCTTTTCACGTGCTACATAACTCAGACCGAACAAATACGTTTCGTATGGTAGCGGTAATTTCTATCCACTGTTAGGTTAACGCTTTGCTGTATCTTGTTTGTACTAAATAAACGTTCAGAGTTGTATATTTGCAACTGCCTTAGTTAAGATTTACTTCAGGCGAAAGCCAGCTCCACGAAACAGACCGCGTGCTTACGCCCAGTTTTGAGCCTCGTCTATCCGCAAAATACTAAGTAAACACTTTATCACTGTATCATCACGGAGAAAGTTTGTCCGCACTGGCCTGACGTTGGTCTTCTCTCGCCGTTCGTGTATTAGGCTCATCTTTATCGTATTTTTTCTAGCGCAAGTTATTATACAGGAGCAGGCGTCAATAGCGACCGGTTGCAGGGATAAGCGTCGCTAGCAGGAAGTCAGAAAGTCAATCACAACTGCGAGCTGCTAGAGAACCAGGATAGCTGTTTATGTCTGTAGCGGCTTATGGGCGTATTTCATTGTCAGTGTCCGGGTACAGGATGGAATCTACTTCTGGGGCTGGTCCTCAATGAGACTATGCGTGCAGATGCTACTACTGTAAAGAATGCAGTAACGGGCAGACAGGAGCTATGCTCCACTGGCTGGTTTCATTGGAGTCTTGCCTGGCAAACGACCTTACACCCAGGATGTAACCACCACCGACAGTTTCAACCAGTCGGTCCAGTCCGATGCTTGCCAAGGCCTGGCCTTGTGTTGCTGCTTTCTAAGCTGGATTGGTGTCCCTGTTTCTCTAAAAAGGCGACGTCATCGGCCTCTTTCGGCGGAATCCTGTCCTTTTCCCCCAAACCAACTATTCCTTTATTTTGTCATCGTGTAACCCTCTAATAGCTTGCGGCTAAGGTCTCAGCTGCCACGGCACCTCAGTGACCAACCAGCCAAACCAACGTTGCCGCCATTAGCTGTGAAGCTCTGTCTTTCAAACCTTTAACGAGATCTGAAAGGCAACTCGTACTAAGTCGTCCACGTCGTCATATCGAGTCCATGAGAGTATCACATTATTCGAGGTTAAACAGTTATTTCAATCTGGGTGTATCTTTCAAGATGGAAATGATTTAAATTCCAGAAGTTATTGAAATGTACAGGGTTAAACTTTATAAGGTTTATATATATATAAACTATATCAACTTGGTAAGACAGGGATCACCAACGCCCGCTAGTGCGCAAACGCATATTTACACATAAAAAAGTAAATGATGTAAGCGATCTAAAACAAAAATACATGAACGGATAATAATAGTAATAGTAAAAAGTTATCGGAAACGAACACTGGCAGTACTCAAGCTTCTATCTGTAGATAGAGTCTGACGCGATCGATCCCACAACGAACTTACTAAACCATAAACCTGCTTGCATTAACGGTATTTTTCTAATAGCAGCAGCAACATTGGGGGAACTAACCATTTCGTTGCCCCTCTTAGGTCAGAACTAACAAAACGCAGACGGTGATAGCTTTTTAAACGGCGATTATAGACGGGTCGAATTGATGGTTCAGTTCCTGTAAAACGTTTCCTTATTCTTTTCCCTGTTGCTCAATATCGGATGTGCGTGACAGAACACTATTTATATGGGAAGAAGATTGGGCAATATGGTGTCAGCGAGGATGCATCACAGATCACTGTCAACGACAAAAAGTTGAGTAAGTATAACGAAGACGCAACCAAGTTGAATAGCTTGTACTAGTGGAACAATCCAATGATATAGAACAACACTATGATGTATCTGAGTGAAATGACAGCGATAGGGAATCGGTAGACTGCTGGTCCGCAGGGTCGCCAAGCCGGGATAGCAAGGTTAGTTCTTCTATCAGATGGGAACGGCAATATAATCATTGCATCCAATAAAGATAGCTTAATAGGTTACATACGATCGGTGGTGCTTTGAACGATCTTTATCTTCAGTAGGTGGAATGAGTTTTGGAAACGGTGGTTGAATTTGAAAGAATTTTATTTTGTCCTATCGATTATAGCTATTTTTTTATATCTGGCTAACTGGCCAATAGTGCGTTCAGGCGATAGCAATAAAGATATCATATCTGCGCAATACTAGTCGCGACGGGATCCGCTGCAAATACCTTTGCTGAAACAGGCATTTGTGTTTGGAAGAACTTGTTCGTCCGCTTTATTATATTGATATTTTTTTTTTTGTTTTTTTCACAATCTGTAAAAAGAACGTTATGGTCGGAGAACAATTCTAATATTAATAAGAAAATAATTATCTAAGCGATACCAATTCATTTAATAAGAAAATCAACACTGATTGCGAGCGAAACTCCGATTTTCGCATTTCTAATATAACTATTGTGTAGTAGACAAATGAGAGCCAATTGTTTTTTTAGTACAATAAAAAAATCAACCGAACAATTTCGTAAAATACATTTCAGTATACTGTAATTTAAACTAATCTTTGAACGCACGATACGAGTCTTGTAATAGACGAACGAATAGGGCGAAAACGGTCGCGTAATGCGCAGATTTGAAATCTAATCCCACGTTTCACGTAAAAAACGTATCATTGTACTCTATGTAGTCATATGTTATAAGAATATAATATATGCTATATTAGATACTCATTATCCTAGGAAGCTTGCCTTGCTTGGTTTCAAGGCAACCCCTAAACATTCGCCTCTGTTAGCCTACAACAATGGATCTATATGTTGTTTTTAGCCTGGTACACGCTTAAGTCCCTGGCTTTGTAGAGCCACATTTTCGTTAACTTCATCACCACTACTGTTTTTCTTTGTTTGCTTGCCAACGTTGTAGTCGTCGTTGTTGTCGCCGCGGTCAGCATGGCATGTCTCATCTCCGTTTGCTTTTCTATCTCCTTTTCTGTCCAAATGATGCTTAAGGGAACCCAATTTGTGGTTGTGTTCCCTATTGCTGTCGCACGGGACCGTGATTTCTCTATTGGTAAATGACAGGCCGTGATAACGATAGTCGGGTTGTTCATCTCGCTGCCTCTTCATTGACTTTCTTAGCGAAGCCCCTTAACCACATCCCGTGGCTTTCCTTGTCGAGGTTTCATGGAGCAAAGGCGAGCGTAGAGAGAAAGAGATAGCGAGGTGGAGCTAGTGGAAAGCGGAAAATTTGGCCTGGAATAAAGTTTGCCACAGAAGTTCAGGTCGCACATTCCCACGTCTCTTCGAGTACTCTTAGAGTGCTCAGGACGTTCTGTGTCACCATAAATGGCTGAGTCAGTCAGCGTTGCCTTGGCCGCCGCAGACTAAGGTGACTTGTCCCGTTATCGTTACCATTACCGGCGCCACTGCCAACGTCGAGAAAGAAGGACGATGTGAAGGGAACAAATCAAAATTCAGACAGTTGTTCCCCATTACCTATGGGCTAGTGGGCTATCGGTTGACCCCAACTCGCCTTAACCTCTCCGTCCCTCTCCGCCTGCTCAAACGTATATATGCATCTAGCAGGCTCAAGGGCGCGGTTGGACCACCGCTGCTGTTTCTCTACCTTGAAAACGGCTTGTTTACCCACCCAGTAGTCCCTCTTCTAGGTGGTCCGTTGTTCAATTCGACGCTCCTACATGGTCTAGGAACCCAGCTACATCTTTACCGTCACCATCTACTCAGTACTTCGAGTGGTCGAATCGGATTGCGCAGCCGTGCCATTCACTGACTCATCGACTTACTACTTATTATAGTAGAAGCAAAAGTGTATGTCGAGGGTTTCGTTCGACGCGCGGACACCAGACGAGCGTGGCCGCCCTGAGGTCCTGAATCAAAGACGGACGTATTTTTGCCAGTTCGGTAGTGCTCACGTAGCAATTGCGACGTCAGCTGTCCGTTTTGACCAGTGTTCTTTCCAAATCCAGCCTTCTTGATAGTGGCTTGTTCGTTTGTTCGCTTGCTATCCTTCATCAACCTTTTCTCCTTCCTGTTCTTCGTTCTTCTATTCTTTAGGATCACAGGTACTTCAACCAAGACGGAAAAATGCGATTGTATTTGATGGTAAAGACAGAAACAGAGAACGTTAGA